AAGAGTTTACAGTTTCTAACAAAGCAACATAGGGCATCACTCTGATTTGGAGCAACACCATGCACAAAAAGCAGCACTCCAAAAATCGGACACTCTGTTATTCAGTGGACTATTTGAGTTACCAAGGAAAGAACTTCAGGCTGTTTAAGTAAATTCCTCAGCTCCTGGTTAAAAAAAAAAAAAAAGGTCAGCTCCTCTGCTCCAAAAATTTCGCTCAAAGAGCTCAAGTCATCAAGGTATGAGCAAGAGCCGCTCAAAGAGCATACTGTTGAAGGTCAGCCCTATGCAAAGACAAGGGTAATTGACTTCCAGTTAAAAGACCTGAAAAGAAAGAAATAGAGAAAGGAGCTAGAAAGTAAGAGAAAAAAGAAATCAAGCCAAAAAGATCAATCCGGAAGCAACTCTGTGGGAAACTGACTAAAAGAGTGGAAGAGTTCACACACACAATGAAGCTGGTGAAACTCTCAAGTCAGATGAGTGCTCTAATGAAGCGATGGAAGGAATTAAGTTAACTCTTCATCAATAATCTCAAGGAGCATTAGCCTGTCACAAGAAGACTGTTGGTTGTGAAGGATTACTCGGGGCGAGTAATATCTAGTTTTGGGGTGTTGATAGTCCTCAAGAGTTGAGGCCCATTAAGTGCAAATTGTTCCACAAAACCCATGTTTTGGTTATAAATCACGCCATTTAACCTTCTTCTTTTCATATAGAGCAACTGTTTTGAATAGTGGACCAGAGCAATGCCGAAAGTGGGAATTAAGGTAGACCTGGAGCAAATTTAACATTATCTTTTTCACATATGACTATTGGGTTAGTTTGCTTTGTTCAGGACACCTAAGGCCCATCAAAAGGAACCACAAAATGAAGAGAGAAGAAGGAGTGTTGCGCAGGAAGGAAAAAGAAGTCTGCTATAGTACAACAGCAGTCAAAAGAAGCAATGGGGAGCTGCCACGTCAGCTACAGCAGAAGGAGTGGAGGTGCTGCCTCTGCTACAGTACGAAAGCAAAGAAGCTGAGCAATGGGGAGCCGCCACGTCAGCTACAGCAGAAGGAGTGGAGGTGCCACCCTGAATCCGATACTCCTACTCACAAAGGGAGCCAAAAGCAAGGGGGACCACTTCCATTTAAGGCCAAGCTGGCAAGAAGCAAAGCTACCATTAGAGAGGATTTAGACAAAGCACGACCCTTGATGAAAGGAACAATGGAGATCAAATGAAGAACCCTATAAAAGGAACAAGCAATCCTCATAAAGGGGATCAGCACCCATCCTAGGACTGGTTATCTCTTTGTTTTCTTATTTCTTTGTAAAAATGCTCACTAGGAGCTAACTTCCTCTAAGTAGGTGAGGGTTCCATAGAAGAAATCCCTTTTGTCTTAGGATAGCTTTGTAAGGAACACATATTTTATAAATGAATTTTGAGTTGCTCTTTGGTTTAATTTGTTGATTTTGTGAAACCCTTTGGGCTGGCAACCTCATCCCGGGACCACTCGGTTGATGAAACACTGACAAAGGCGTGTGGAGCATTCTCAAAATCCTGGGGTAGTTTAGCCTGAAGAAAGGAGGGATAAACACCTGGAATGGGGAGCACTGCCATGTGAATCCATGCTCTTTTGAGAAGGCAGCATGGTTTCCTTGCATATAACTCCAAGTACTATGGAGTAACGTGGAGAGTAAGGCCTTACCTTCTGCTTACCTATAGCAAAACAAGGGAAGGAGCAAAATACACTTGTAAAATATGCTACCAGGCAGGGTTAACCAAAGGGATGAAAACATAGAACCCGTAACACCTACTTGATCTTTTTCTTCCTGAAATTAATCTTAACTAAATTCCTATCACAACCTTTTCCTCACGATAACTGAACTGTGTTTTACTAGCTGATGCTCTTACTTTCATTTCGTTGACTGCTCTTAAAGTTACTTCAATTGATGCCATTTTATTCGATGACCATGCTAAGTCATTCACTGCTTTCATCTGGTTCAGAATGGTTAACATTGTTTAACTAGCTGCCCAGAGATTGCTCTTTGTGAAGCTTAGCTGAGAATAGTGATTTCTTTTATTGCTCCATTTTACAAATTAAGTTTCCTTTAGCGCTTCTTACTTCACAACTACTCCCTGAGGACGATAAATCTGGGGCTATAATACCCTATATTGCTTGACACGTACGCTTGCGTATAGTTGAAGAGGGTTGCTCTTAGTCAGAGTAGATTGCTCATGTTGGCAATCCTGATTACTACTCTACACTCTTGCTCTCTGAAAGAAATATTCTCGAGCAACTCTCGGTTCGACCAAGCATGGATCTACCCAAAGGTAAGAAGCCAATTGGTTCAAATGGGTGTACAGAATAAAACACAATTCAAATGGGACAATTGCTCGCTACAAAGCAAGACTTGTGGCAAAAAGCTACAATCAACTGAAGGGAGTAGATTACTTTGAAACCTTCTCACCAGTTGCTAAACTCACCACCATTAGGCTTCTTCTAGCTATGGCAGCATCTTGAGACTGGTTTTTTCATGCAATCTTACTGAAGATGTTACATGCCTATACCAGAAGGAGTTTTTACACCTAATTCCCAGCAAGTTTGCAAGCTTCAAAAGTCCCTCTATGGACTTAAGCAAGTGAGTAGAGAATGGTGTTAGTATTTGGGTGTCCTAGAGACAATCTTATGATTAAATAAGGATAGAGATGTAGACCTTTTTAATATTGTCGCAAATAAATAAAAGCACTCTTTATCTTGTTTCATAATAATGTCTCGATATTAATATTAATATATTATGAATAACTTGATAAACCCCGTGGAATAAAATAGGTATCTCTTGAGTATCTGTGATGAGATCACAATCATGAGGATTCAAGAATACCGGATGTTTATTCCTGATTTTATGTTCCTAGTCTAGAGATACCGAGAATGGGGTCAATAATCTCGGGTAAGACTAGCACGACTTATCTACTTGTATATGGATGCAAGGTATAGACCTCATGTGCTAAAGATATGGAGATGTCTCAGCTAAAGTCGTGGGTGGACCTATAAGGGTATAGCTCGCACTGAACGGACCTACAAAGAGACTCTATGAGGAACTCTCACAGAGAGTATCATTAGAGTAGTCTCTTTATATTTGGGTATGTCTTTTCCTAAGACCAGAAGTTATTACCTAGACTGTGTTCTAGAAGGCATGCTTTGATTGTGCACCTCGTCTGCCTGAAACATGGAGACTCATAGGTATACTGTTGGGCTTGTCCTGAAAGAACACAGGACTAGGGTGATAAGCTGAAGGAATTCGTCAAATCTCTGTGAGAGATTAGGTTATCTGTAAACCGGAGAAATCGGGATGACGTTTACAGGGACTCGGGAATCTATGCATAGTAAAAGAGATCATGAGATGATCTGCCTTTAGAGTCTGTAAATTGCAGATTCCCTATTTCGAATAAAGCTTACCCTAAACCGCAGGGGTTGATACGCTTCCTTACCCTAGGTTTTATGGGAAGGTAACCGAGACGAAAGGAAATATGTACGGCAACCAAATATGTTTAATAGGATGATCAAATCATTAATCTAACTAGTTCTGGGGCAACAAAGCATTGCTAGTGCTCTGTGTTGTCATTAGATGAGTTGTGGGCTTATTGGGCCTAAGCCCATTTATGTCAGTGGCTAAGTTAGACCTAATGGGTCACACACAAACACCTAATTGTCTAGATGCTCTAGCATTAAAGGTATTGGGCCTAATAATAGTTATTAGCCCAAGAAGTTGTTTGGAACTCCACCTAAAGGGGTGGAGGGCGCATGGTTCATTGTAATGGGCTTGGATAGTCCAAGACATTACTAATTAATTTAATTAGTTAAATTAATTACCAAACATTTAAATTTTGAATTTTGGAATTCGAAATTTGAATTTTGAAATTTTGAATTTTGAATTTGAATTTCGAAATTTGAATTTTGAATTTGAAATTTGAAATTGGAATTTTGAAATTTGGATTTTGAATTCGAATTTTGAATTTTGAATTTTGAAATTTGAAAATTTGAATTTTGAATTTTGAAATTTTGAAATTTGAATTTTGAATTTGAATGTTTGAACATTTGAATTTGAATATTTGAATGTTTGAATTCAAATATTTGAATTTGAATTTGAATTGCCTATGAAAGGTTGTTTCATAACAAAAGAATAAGATGAGATCTTGTTGGAACAAATCACTAGTATCATGAGAGAATCTTTTGGACAAAATCCAATGCCATATATGGCGCTGATTTGGGTTGTTGGTGAGCAAGATTTGCTCATCAAAATCAGCTTCAGAAGATTCAGTCAGTTGGGAGAAAATCTGAGTGAGTTGATTCAAATTTGAATGCAACTACTCAGATGTATCTGGTCACCTTTTTGGGCTATATGGGGCGCATCATATAGCTGATCTTATGAAGATTTCTGATCAGAATTTTGAATAGGTTTTGAACCAATTCTCAAGAGAATATCCTAGGAGCCTGTTAGCAATTTTTGAAATAAAACAGCTCCACTTCTCTCTCTCCTATCTGGCGCCTAATGATCAGATTTTTAGGAGAAAAATCTTATTGGTATTTTATTTTAAATACTCTCCTCTTATGTGCCTAAGTGATCAGTTGTTCCTCCAAGGGTTTTTCTGAAAACCTAGCCTATTCTCTCCTCTCTCCTGCGCCACTTGTGAAGCTTTCACATTGAGAGCTTCACTTTTTCAAACACTTTCACCTAGCCTCCATCTTCACACATAGAGCGTCTAGCAAGCCTCTTTGTGGTGATCATCCGGTGGCTTCACAAGAAGGAGTTCTTTCACCTAGACGAGTGGGTGGTGTGGATCAACGTTAGAGGGTCTGAACCCTTCAGACCGGCCTTGATCATCTGGTGATTTCACGAACAAGGTAACATCATGCTTTCCTAAAGCATGATCTTGATGTGCATGTATATTCCGCAAAGAAAAATTTGTTTTTCCCTCTTGCATGCATCGGCCTTCAAGGCCATTTCGAACTTTCAAATGGAACATGAGACTGACCACAGAGCTCATTTCTCTTGGATACACTCAATCAAATACAGACCACTCTCTATTCACCAAAGCTACTCATGATTCTTTCGCTGCACTTTTGGTGTATGTTGATGACATGGTTCTAGCTGGTAATAACATGAACGAGATACAAACTGTCAAACAACATCTTGATAAGCTTTTCAAGATCAAGGACTTAGGTCCTCTTCGTTTCTTCTTAGGATTTGAAATTGCTCATTCCCAACGAGGCATAGTCCTAAATCAGAGAAAATATACACTTGAATTGTTGACTGATAGTGGTGTGATTGGAGCAAAGCCTGTATCTACTCCAATGGAAGCCACACTTTGTTTATCTCAAAACCAAGGAGAGCCTTGCCATGATGCTGCAGCTTATCGTCGCCCAGTTGCATGTCTCTTGTATCTAACAGACACCAGACCTGATATTTCTTTCGTTGTACAACAATTGAGCCAGTTTATAGCGCAACCTATGAAGTTTCATTTTGATGCTGCTCTTCGAGTATTGAGATACCTCAAGGGATCTCTAGGAAATGGGCTCTTCTTTCCTTCTCAAAACTCACATGTCCTCACAAGATTCACAGATGCTGATTGGGCCACATGCCCATATACTCGTCGTTCCACTTTAGGCTTCTGTGTGTTCCTTGGATCATCGTTGATTTCTTGAAAATCTAATAAACAGACCACAATCAGTCGCTCATCAGCAGAGGCAGAGTATCGAGCATTAGCAACTTTGACCTGTGAAGTGCAGTGGCTTACATATCTTCTTCATGACCTCTGTGTTCCAATTAATGGTCCAACCAAAATATACTGTGACAATCAAGCAGCCATACATTTGGCTCACAATCCCACATTTCATGAAAGAAGCAAGCATATAGAGCTTGACTGTCATCTCACCCATGAGAAAATTTTCCAAGGTTTGATTCATTTACTTCCAATTTCAACCAAGCAGCAACTCGCGAATACTTTCACAAAAGCGCTCTATTCCATGCTTTGTTGTCCAAGTTGAGACTTCATGACATTTACCTCCCAACTTGAGGGGGGTGTTGAGTATATATGTGTGAACGGTGTAACTTAACTTACTTGATTCATACTTTCTCAAATGATAATTCAGATTTCCATATTCTCTGTCTTCAATTGTAACAATATCTTCCCAAAACATTTCTTAAATATTATCAAAATCAATAAAAATGTCAAAAAATATTTAAACAAGCAGACCGCCCAACTCTATTTTATATTATCTTCGGTGTTCGCAGTCTGGATTGGATCAGTTTTGGAAGAAAAACTCATCCGATCCATTCCTTTCGATTTGATCATGTAATCATCCATTCGGTTTAGATTTTTTTTCAAATCCGATCCGATTCAATCTAATTTTTTTCGGTTTGGATTGGTTGATGAACACCCCTATTATCTTGTCTCTTAAAAATAATCAAGTAAATAACTTCATTACTTTTAATTATAAAATAATAATTTAAATTAGAAATACATATAAAAGTAACAATAAACTAAATTTAAAAATGTATAAAAAAGCTAAATTAAAAATAATCTAAATAAAAAATAAAGTTTAAATTTCCTATAATCTCCATTATTTACCAAGGGATATCGAAAGCCAATGAAATAAAAGTTCAAAATATGTATTCCATAACTCAGTTTCCTGAACATGTATTCTACCAATTACTAGCCATAAAAGAAGGCATCAGGTCATGTGTATCTTCATTGTAACAGTATTGTGCTCGCTACAAGACGCTAAAGATTATGCTATCCACCTTGAGGAGCTCCTAAGAGTTATGAAATATATATTTTGATGGTCATAAAAGATTTACAATAAATTTCAAATTAAAGATGAAGTTTGAAGAGACAAGTAATTAGGTATTTTTAAAATTTTTGTTATAAACTATATTATATCACATAGTATCTCCTTAAACTCCTTTGCATACCATTGCATTACATGTATTTATACTAAAAAATAATTAATTTTTAGTATTATGGGTTTAGTTAGAATTAAAAATTAAATCATTTAAGTAAATAAATCGAAACCATCAAATTGCTTTTCAAATTGAAAATGAAAACAATCAGTTTTTTTTTCCTTCCAAAAACATGTTACATGGGTTTTAGCTTTTGAAAAACAAATTAATAATATAATAAACAAAGGGTAAAGTGTGTGTAATTTTAAAGGATGTAAAGTTGTGTCATTTTAAGAGAGAGAAAGAGATAGATAAAGGAGGAGAGAGAGTTGACAAAAAAATAAAGGTGTGGGTCCCACCTCTTTATGAGAGTGAAATGATATAAGTTGTGTCATTTAAAAGGATAAACACTTTTCACATAAACAAAAGTAGGTTTTCAATTAAAAAGTAACTTGGTTGGTGAAATTAAATGTAATATAATAATAAAACTCATTTAATGATTCACCAAATTGAAAAATAAGGTTAAAGTTATTTTTTCTTATTAAGCCTAAAATGATACCATTTTAAAACAGAAATTAAGTATTTTTATAATTATAATTTATTTCAGGATTATAATAATTTTTTTTATTATAATCTTTTTATTTTTCAATCCAAAATAATATTATTTTGTGAATAAATATATACAATTTATCTATATTTACTGTAAAAATATTAAAACCATAAGATTATCAGAGATGCCCCACTATTTGACGTCGTTGGACTTGCTTGAAAATAATATATAATAATAATAAAAAGTGTTACAGGAAAATTACTTTACCAATAAAAAAGAAAGAACCTACGCGAACCCTATTCCCAAGAAAAGCTCTCCAAATTTCGTGATTTCGCACTGTGCTCTTTTTGTTGCATTCACTCGGCAGAAGCCTATCAACACCAACACTTCAAAACACCTCACATATAGTGTCCGACACATTTTGATATTTTCCGACACTCCGATATTTCCCGACAATTCAACATGTATTGCAGAGACTCAAAAAAGGTTCAAAGATTACGTTGCGTTGCGTTTTTAGTTCCAATTATTAAATTCGTTCGATTACAATTACTATTTTATTGAGTTTAATATAAATATTTATGATCTCTTATGTTTCTTTGCAAAATTGATCGGTATTATAAGTTTAGCTTTAATTTTTTTTTAAAATTATTGAATATTAAACATAATATACACTACATAAATTAAAAATATTATTTAATATCAAAACGTGTCTTAACGTGTCAAAAATGTAATATTTTTTAGAATTAACGTGTCAGAGTGTCGTGTTGTGTCGTATCCCGTGTTCCATATAAGTATCGATGCAACATAGGCACAAGCTCCCTTTCGTCCATATATGCTGCACTCTTCTTTTGATAATACCCGCTGGTGAAACAAAAAGATGTCAATCACTTTCTCTATCAAAAACCTTCACATCTTCTCTCTCATAAAAAGTTCAGTTCGAAAATTTTCTTAGAGAAACCAAGGCATTAAAGAAAACCATTTCAGATAGATTGAGTTTTTTGGGTTGCGCTTATTGCTGGGTTTTCTAGATGCACTCTGTTATGATTCTCTTTCTTGGACGCAGATTGTTCTGGATCTTTATGTGAGATCAAGTCAGTGAGTGGGTGTGACTTCTCCAAGTTATGTTTTTCTGTTATAAAATCTTTGAAGCTTTATTGATATATCTTGCCATTTCTCCATATTAAGTTGATTCAACGATTGAAAGATTTATACTAAAAAACCCAAATTCTTTAATTCATATATGTTAGGGTTTTTGTGTGCTAGAATCTGAAAATTAAATTTGAAAAATCTGTATTACATGTTAAAGTGAAGTGTGCGTGTGTGAAAAAATCTGTCCTAGGTGTGTGTGGTGCAACCGAGTGGATTGACTACATTGTGCTTGGCTTCAGACTGTTTCTCAAGACCTAGAGCCTCAAGAATTTACAAGGGAGTGTGAAGTTCTTGTGTGAGGGGAGTTGGTGAACTCATAAGTTCGGCTTGAGAGAATTTTCAGAGCTTGGAGCAGAGTAAGCATTAGGAAGATTTTTGATATTTTGATTGCTTGTGTGACGCGTGTTTGTAAAACGGTACAATTGTGATAAATAAAATATATGCGGCTACTTTAGTCTGGACGTAGCACCCAATTTATGCTTAGTGATTGTGATCCAGTATATATCGTGTGTCTTTGTCTCTCTGATTTAATTTCTGAATATTATGATTTGAGACTAAAAGTAACACCGTTTTCGATTTGTTATATTTTTGCTATAGTAGTTTACTGTTATATTTCTTAAAGTGTTGTAGCATCTTACTGGTTTTGATATAAGTGTTGTAGCACTTAAACTATTTTCTGATATTTGGAATTTAATCATTCTCTGATTTGTGTAAAAAAAAAGCTTGTTGTTGCATTTGATCTGTAAAATAAAAGGTCAAGTACAATTTTTATTTATATACATCATATAAAAATTATTTTGGGCATATAAAGACCTAAGATAAAATTTATAAAATTGTTATAGCTGTGTGACTATGTACTGAAGTGAATTTGTAAAATTTATAAAATTGTTATAGCTGTGTAGTTAAACTTTATCTAGACATATCAGTTTTGTGTTTACTTGTAAAATGATTTTTTGAAAAAAATTTAAAACACTTATACACCTAGGTAATCAGTTTTAGTCTACTTGTAAAATGATTTTTTGAAAACACTTATACACCTAGGTAATCTTTAACATCCTCCTATGTTGAGATATATAGTCCTACATTGATTGTGTGGGCAACTAATGTGGTCTTTATAAGGCCTTGGGCACTCTCACCCTTTGAGCTAGCTTTTGGGGTGGTGACCTCAAGGTTCTTAACATGGTATCAGAGCCTCACCGTCCCCCATTTTAAAAGTGAAATTAAAATAAAAAAAAAAGCACAAAAAGGTAAACCAAAAATTGGGGCTGTGCAATTCCACGCTTCTTGCCCAAAGGGCTCTTGCGTGAGGGGCGTGTTGAGATATATAGTCCCACATTGATTGCGTGGGCAACTAATGTGACCTTTATAAGGCCTTAGACACTCTCACTCTTTGAGCTAGCTTTTGGGGTGGTGACCTCAAGGTTCTTAACATCCTATAAAGAACCCATTTGCCCAACACAGTTTATAGAATGTCTTATATGATCTAAGGTCAGGTTTTCACTCCCATGAACCTTTTCTTCGTCGGCACTGATCAAATGAAAGTTGTATGTTGTGCCCCAACAGAAAGATTAATCCCTTTTTTTTTGTTGGGCAGAAAATCTGAAGTGGGTCTGAAGAGAAAGGAAGCCCTGCGAGTTGTGAAATTAAAGCACAATTGGGTCTTGAAGGCACTGAGAAGGTAGCTCTTAATAAAAGCTTGGCTTCCATTGGGGGGAGAGAGAGAGAGATTGATTGTGACAATAGGAATTTGACAAAGACAAAGAAGCATTAACGAATGAAGGTACAGGATAAAAGAAACAAAATGCTCGTCTTTTTCTTTTTGTCATCTATAACATTATTTTATTCCTACCAATCATCACGTGGGCGTTACCGCTCTAAGTGTTTTTTTTTTTTTTTTATCATTTTAAGTTTTATTGTGAGTTAATATATTTTCGAAAAAAAAAAAAAAATCATCAACCATTAAAAGAATGAAGATTTTTTTTCGAGGCTTGAGGATACCAAGCTTGCAAATTATTTTTAGCAATACCAAATATTAATTTTCATATATACATGCAAACAGTGTTG